TTTATAGTCAAAATATTAAACACTATGCTCCGAAACGTTAGTAGCATAAATTGTTTTGCGTATATCTCTGCACAAACAAATGATAGAACTTTGGTTTTTTTTCAAAAGATGCGTCGTGAAAAGTACTACAAAAATTGTAGAAACCAATCTCCATTCATCCGTACTGATGATTTCTTTCGCATTCGAAATGAAAAAAGTACATAACAGTGCTACTTTCCACTTAACAAAAATAGTTGAAAGATTTTCATATTTTGCATATATCTCGACTCGAGATAGCGATAGCACCTTGATTTTTCTTTCCGAAGATGCAGCGCCAAAAGCTCTACAAAAAACAGTATAAACAAATTTCTATTGTATGAAAAAGTCTCCCATACATTTTGTATTATCACTTTGTCTTTTTTTTTGTGTCATTTTTGTCGTAGGACTGAAGATTACTTTGCCTATTGTACTATATATTTCAAGAGTTTTCCGTATGAAACAGATGTATACAGATAGTGCTCGATCTCCGCTACAGGAATATATAATCAAATTAAATCAACGTTGTTTAGTTAAAATGGATGACTCAAAATAAAAAAGTGGGGCGAGACTTATGACCTCCACAGTATTTCCGCTTGTCCATGTAACGCGACACTTTGCTGATCAAGTTTTTCAAAAATTGTTTTCTGATATGGACTGATCTAAACGCATTTTCAAGTGCAGTTTTGGCGCTGATTATGAATTTGACCTTTTTTCTTTTAACAAATTGGATTTTGGGACCGAAAACCGGATTTTAAACTTTTCAAAAATCGTATTTTTACATTTTTAACGAAGAAATTTTCAAAAAAAGCAGAGTGACACACCTTTCGACGCAGAATTTGAGTCTCTACAAAACGGCCTATTTACTGCGTGCTCTCATCCCTCAGGGCAACTTCTAACTTCTTGTACAGTTTCTAACTTACTGTACAACTAATGAGCTCCCTTTCTAAGTAGCCACTTCATTTTTTTTACACAACGATATATGTATGACAGTGATCAATATATATGAAAATTAAATATTTCTAAGAACGTTAAGTGCTTCAAACTTGGTCGACAAAAAGCAGTGTCACAGAGTTACGCTTCTTTTTTGCATTTTTATCTGAGCAAACATAGTTTAGCAAAACTCTTTTACGGCTTGAAAGCCCATTCGATTCTCTGCAAAGCTAGCTCTATACGCATTCCATTTGAAGAAATACTTTCTCAAAACATTAGAGTTTTATAAGCGACCCTAGAGAAAAGGGTCTTTTTTTGTCACAGCGTTACGCGATGATAAAACCTTCCGAGAAGCTCGAGACGTCCGTCAAACTAAATCATTCTCGCAACATGCATAGAGTATGATAAGCTGCGTCGAATGACGTTTGAACGACCTTATTAGCTATCATGCTTTTTGAGATAATTGAAAAACAATGTGTCAAAAACGTCACGGCGTTACGCTTGGACAAGCCGATTTATTGAAAAACCCAAAGATCTTCCAAAAACTTTTTCGAAAATTTTGTTTTTCAGATTAAAAGACAGAGGTCTTCTAATACGACTTTCCAACCTTTTTCTGGGGGGGGGGGGGGGTTTTCTTTTACGGGGGAGCGGGTTAGATAACCTGTTATACAAGCTTTCAGTCATATTACTCTCTAAAAAAAAGGCGTCGTACCAAACCTTTTATGTATCCGTCGACCAAACCCCCAAAAATGGTTTGAAAGCAACTGAGCCAAACCTTTTTCGGAAAAAACTCATACTTTTTCTGTGAAAAAGTTTCGCCTGGATCTTCCGAAACTTTTGGTTGGGCTCAGATACTCCGAAACCATTTCTGGGGTTTGGCATCTGTACCCGTCGGCCAAACTAAAAAAGGTTTGGTACGACGCCTTTTTTTAGAGAGTAGTGATTGCTTATCGGAAACTGTGAATCCATGAAATGTTTCACTCACCTTGCGTGGCGCCCACACTCCAGAACTGTATTCGATTGTTAGCAGTATCTGCGACGTAAACATCACCTGACGGAGACACAGTAATGCTGTATGGATAATTCAGCTGATTCGTGGCCGATCCTGGTCCTTTGCCCCCTGCTACTGTCACTCCATTCGGATTCCACATAGAACATCCACTGGTCGTAGAAGCTAAAATGATATTTTGACTTACGCCAGCATTTTCTCCCACTTCTATATTGAAATAAATAAAGACTGTTCATTTTGAGATCCATAAACGACTCAATTCTTAACTCTTTGAACACTTTTCAGCTGTGTATTTTTCAAACTTTTTATCTCGAAGCTGTTTGGTATGAAAGGGAAAATATAGTCGCATAGTCCGAAATGATTTATAACTATTTTAACCCACTGAGTTAAAATGTCCGAAACAGTTATAAATCATTTCGAACTCGTCAGCGGAAAATATGCTTCATGTCATGAATGCATGAAAGGAATAATATGAATTGTTTCACATTATCGAGAACGTAATCATTGAAAATTGACTCGCGGTCTCTTGCTTACTATTGAAATCGTCAGAAACTGTCTGCTACAGTGAATCCTGGTTTTATCAGTTGTGTAGAACATGGTGTGCATTGCATGGGCGAATCTTACCTGCGACCATTGATATTCCGATAAAAACAATGAACAGGTTGACACCAAGCCTGTCCATTTGCAGTTTATAAGACTAAATCTGATGAACAGAATCTAAAAGAAAAGTGCATTCGTTTAGAACTAACAAACTTTAATGTTGTGGATATATTGCTTTGAGTAAGTAAAACTATACAAGGTCTTCTGCGGTCTTAGTAGATGATTAAAAAGCGGAAGCGAGTTTACGATTGATTTGTATGTTCAAAGGGTAGAATAGTATATTGTCCCTCGAGTGTGGTGACGATGAATAGATAATTGAGGTTGTTCCGACGATGAACAATTGCAATATAGGCTGGCCATGATGATGATGATAATGGTAACGAAGAAATGAAGAATGAAGATAACCAAGTGGTAAAGCGTTACACAGCCTTGGTGTTTAAATATATGCCATTTGATGACGCGTGGTACTTACATATAAGGAAAGTATATTACGTCATCAATATGCTGACTTTTTTCATCTGTACGATCATTTTGTTTATACACTGAATCACAACGGAAGTAACCGAATAGACGGAAGAAGCTGAAAGAAAACGAGAATCGACGCCACTCTCCACACAGTATTTATTCATTTCCACATGAATTCCCACCACTTACTGGTCATACTTAAAAATATCAGGAAGCATGAATCATAGCGTCTCACTTCCTACTTACACAATAATGACTATTGATTGCATACAGTGAAGAGCACGTTGCTATTTTATTGAATGTCTGTCGCAATAATATCTCTGATTGAAATGACGTAAGACTTCAACCTTCTTCGATCAAGAGCGGTCTGTACGTAATAATGAAGAGACATTTTTGGAATAATTCAACGGCTAACAGTCCTTATTTGCTAAATTGTATAATAAGTCAATTACATGCAGTATAACATAAAACATTATACTATGATTACTCCACTGGAAATCTATTTAATTTCTAGAATTCCTCGAGAAAGTCTGACACACTAGTTTTAACGACCTACTGAATCGGTGTTCAGTAGCACTTTACATAGGTAGCTATATGATTAAAATAAATACGTTTCATACTAAAATAAACGAGAGATCCTCTTAAAAGGAGATACTGATTATTTTGTTTTACTTTGCAACCGATAAGATTAAAACATCAGTCAAAAATTAAATCCAATTTAATACGAAAAAGACTTCAATAGAAAAACTCATCACAATAGAATTTAAAAAATTGCACATTTTCAGATAAAATAGCTTTTTAATTTATTCAAAAAGCGCCATTTGTCAATATGTTTCTCCTTCTGAGCAGTGACGTATGTTATATGCATCATCATTGTGTAAGAAAACGTGTTTAATAAAACATGACGCAAGCACATTTTTTTCTCTTAACAGTACGATTTTTTTCTTTGTTTTTCTCTAAACATATCTTGTATGTCAGTGGTGCAATTGTATTACTATTTACATAGTGTGTCGGGTTACCTGTACATGTCTTTACGTCTCTTTTTTTTGCGGAAGGACCACTCTACAAAATTATAATGTTTATTACAACTGAACGTTATGTGACAATCGAGACAAATTGTGTTGTACATGATCGGACATGCCTGTCAAAATTTCACAGAACTGTCGAAAAATATTGCCTCTTGTTCCAGAATGAGTTATTTGAAAGTATTGATAAGATCAGTTTTGGCCCATCTCTCAAATCGGAACAATTGTTCACTTAGAGCGCATTTGTCCGGTGACATTTCAAGTAGCGTAAAAATCTATGGGATAGTTCATAGTTACTAACAATCCAGCCAGAGAAGTAAATCACGTGATTGATTCCGCCAATTACACACTAAATTTAAATGTGTCGTGTTTATGTGTCGTGATTTATTGTGTTGTGCGCTCCAGCACAAAAAAGTGTCGTGCCTTGAATGTGTCGTATATGAATTTGTCGAGTTCTGTCTGCCGACTATTCGTTCACCATTTTGTTATGCATACATAGCGATATATAAACAACGTGGTTGAACATACGAAAGATAAATTTTCAAAATATTCTTTTTTTCTAAATTATTTCTCGACCATTTTTTTTATCGAGCAAATGCTAATCTCGATCCATGATCGAGAGAGGACTACCCTGAAGCGGTCTGCTGCAAATCGGACCAACTCGAGATCGGGCGGGTCTCACGATCTGAGCTGCTTGAGTTTTCAGAATAGAAATAATTGAATGGAATTAAATTGAAAAAAAAATCGAAATATGCTTTTCCAAAAGAACCAATAGAAAATGTGCCGCATGTGTCGCACAAAATGTGTCGTGGTCTTGCTGGAGAAAATGTGTCGCAGTGAGCTCCTCGTGTCGCACTTTGATGTGTCGTATAATGTGTCGCAAATCACGACACATGCGACACATTTTAACTTAGTGTGTACGTTATCTTAAGTTATTATCATTCAGACAAGAAATGACATCAGTAGAATGTCGAATAAAAGATAACATAGATAGAATTGAAAAAATTATTTTTGAAAAAATTGAAATTTGGGCACGTTCAGCTGAACATGATTTAACAATTCAAAATGTTACTTCGATGTTAATAAATATGAAACGTGCTTCAATGGATATGCCTTCATTTAAGATTAAAATAAATGAACGAATAGATGAATTACTCAATTATTATAAAACTATAACAAATGATAATATGACTTTTACAAAGTTAGGTACACTTTTAAATCAGGATAAAACTGGTATAGGTCAAAGTATTATTTCAGAACATAAATCATTTCAAGGTTATTCTTTATCTTTATTCAATCAAAAAACTCGAAAACATGACATTACATATGTATTAAATAATTTAGAAGGAGATTTTATTGATAAAAAACTATTAGAAAAACGATATGATCAGTTTAATAAACTTTATCAAGAATTAATTCAACAAAATTAAAAACCTAATATGAAATTAGATAAATTATTAGAAACTATTACGTTAATAGCAGGAAATAGAAAGCAGGAATCAAATGAGATAGATTGGGATGCAGATATACGAAAAAAAGTTCCAGAATTAGCAGCATATATTTTTGCTTTATGGACACTTAAAAATGCCGAGCATTATTTTGAAGCTGCCAGTTCAGATAATCGAGATAATTATCTTTTTCAACCTCATGCAGCTCAAATTATTTCAATATTTCGTATGCTTGGTATAGGTGATAAGAATGAAGAATTAAAAAAATAATTTAGTACAAATAGGAACTGGTGAAGGAAAATCTATTACATTAGGATCTATGTCTTGTATACTTGCACTACTTGGTTTTGATGTACGTTGTGCATGTTATAGTCAATATTTAAGTCAAAGAGATTATCAAGCATTTGTACCATTATTTGATTCATTAGGTTTATTAAATTATATACATTATGGTACATTTAATAAACTATGTGAAGAGGGTGTGGGTGTGGGTGTGGGTGTGGGTGTGGGTGTGAGTGGGTGGGTGTTGCTGTGGGTGTGGGGTGTAAGTGTGGATATGGGCTTTGTGGAAGAGAAGATCCACACCTACACCCACCCACACCCACACCCACACCCACACTCACACCCACACCCACACCCACACCTACACC